TGTGCATTTGCAGAACTGTCACAGAAAGAGATAGGCACATCCCTACCTGCAGTTCAGTTTCCCAGCTGCACTCAATAACTGTAATGACAGAGTGGCTCTTATCTGCTGCTGCTGAAGACATTTTGCTATTTATTTTTTATTTTCTCATTCACTCCTTCATGATCAAGTCTATTTTGTCATTCAAAGGAAAACAACAAACAAAGTATGCGCACTCCAAATAATCATATAATAAATCAAATAATATAAAATAAACGTTATATTAACAGGAATGGTTAGGCTATTGCAACCTATAGTGCAAAAATGCTTCAGCAACAATTCGGTCAAACACCTTCAATATCACAGTCAATATCATCCAAAAAATAATAATACCAGCCAATATTCGATAATCCTCCAAAAACAAAAGCTGCTACAGTTTCAAAACCAGAAATAGATGTTTATAGAAGAGATGTTTATATCTGAAAGAAGGGGCCTCACTACTTAATGATGCTAATATAGTGAGTGCCCAAAATCACATAAAGCTATAAAACATACTACTATGTAAAAAATACAAATAAATAATAAAACGGCATAAAGAAAATGTTTCCCCCCTTGGTACAATAAGTGCATACAGCTAAATGCCCCCAGAATAGCTCACCGTGGATGGCCCCTCCACGTAATCAAAGGCTCCTCTGGGTGTTTATTTTTTGGGGTGTATTAAATGATGCCAGTTAAGCATTATTCTAGTTTATACAAAAAAGGGTTGAAGAAACCCTTTAATAATAGTGTGTGTATTGGATGGGTGGGTGGGAATACATTTTTATACCTGTTAAGCCATTATCTGCTATACTTAACAACATAAGACAAATTTCTCATTTAAGCCCCTCGAAAAGGGCCAAATAAAATCCATATTATTTGTCAAGACTTAAAAAAGAAACCAGAAACACAAAATATGCACATGATCTCACATTCCTTTTATTTATTATCTATTTCTGGATTAGTGGTTCCCAAACCAGTCCTAACGGCGCAGCAATAGTTTTGGATTTATGTATTTTATTTGAATTCTAATGGAAATACTGACAAAAGCTAGAGGTCATAAGGAATGGTTTTGGAACCACAGCTCTCAATATTACAAGACTCCACATTATTATTATTATTATTATTATTATTATTATCATTTATATAGCACCAGCAAATTCTGCAGTACTAAATTCATTTGAAAGCAGTTGGTAAAAAAGCAAGAATTTAACAGTTCCTTATGCCCTTATCCCAGTAAACTTTATTAAAGCACTTATTATAGTGAAAAGCACATCAGAAGTTAGAATAAAATGCACTTCTTCGCACTTCATGTCATGCTCTATGTGCTCTATGTGCCTTCATACACACTCAGACATTCTTTCCATATCATGGTGGTGAAATTAATTTGTACGGGATGATCTGGTTGTGCCTGGACAGCCAAGGATACAGCATAACAGAAACAGTATAAACACTGGAATTTATAATAAAAAGTTAAAAAATCACAACTCAATGCATAAATCTGAGATGTGTATCTGTAGAATTTAAAGTACAGTTGCATTATTTTTCTTTTCTCTATTCCACATACTTTCATATTTTTTTTTGTAATGCAAATCATAGACTAAGGACAACTAATTCAACATATGACCCAGTTATTTGTAATGTGTCTTTAGCTCCATTGACTAACATTGTTGATTCTCTAAATGCAAAAGCTGTTAACATATGTAATTTAAAAGCAAATCTATTTCATTTGCAATTATTTCTTTCTGAGGGTGAATTCTCATGCTAGCAAATGCATTTGTCATATCCCATGCATCGACCACTCCAACATTCATGTCTTTAAACATTGAATTAATGATTAAGTATTGTAAATAGCCATGGAAATCACTGAGCATTTCCACCCTCACATTCATTTCACTGGTATTTTCTGTTTTGATGATAACTTTAGTTTCAGGGCTTCGTAGAAACAGACGTTCAATGGCTTTCCTTATATTAATCACCCTACGGAGAAAATGATTTATGGGAAACAGTCTGAAATGCATGCCTAGAGTGAATATTATGACTGTGTGTTGGTCTCCGGCAATCTGGTCAATTAAATGTGGAATGGTGAACTCTTCTTTGAAGGTATAGAAATTAAGCATTATGAAAGGGTTAGCATGTTTTCTGTACTGTATTTTTATGTTTCTCTCCAAGTCAATGTACAAACGAGTCATTGGCCATCCTCCTCCATAAAGGTTAAATGGTTTTAGACCTAAAAGGAAAAAAACAGAAAGACTTTGGAACAAAACATATTCTTTGGAACAAATCATATTCCACTTTTGTTATAAACCAATCCAATAGTCCCCAATCTTGCAATCATTTAACATTTTTTTCATTGATTTCTGTGAACTCTTTTAAGAATTGAATAGATCCCTCATCCTTTAATAATGTTGAAGCTTCATCCCTTCCTTGTCTTCTGGTTTTGTTACTATTTTCTCATTTCATGGACAGATGTGAGAACAGGGTGACACAGAAGGAGGGGGCAAACCACCATTGGCTGTGTGGTGCCAGCATGCTGTGTGTGCTGACATTAGATGCCTATTTTGCACAGGATTGATATAAGCCTCTCGGAACTCTTGTTCTGGACTGGCTAATGATGCCCCAGTGATGCTGCTGAAAGTGAAATTACAGCCCCAACAGTAGAGAATTTTTTTTCATAGTGAAATACTGCTCAAACAGACTCCAGACACCATGGCCATTTTAAATCACTGAAGTAGTCATGGTGCATGGAGTAACCCTTTAAAACCTTTGGTTCTAGCCCTCTGAAGGCAGTTTGACCTGCCAGTTCTTCAGTAATGGTTGCCTAGTGTAGAAAACATTTACAGTATGCAATCCCTAACAGCAGCACCTGATGATAGGTGCTCCAGAATTTGAGTATAGAGTTTTTTCTAGGTGTGAGACTTATACGCAGGCTACAGTTATTATAACTCTAGGTATCAGGCTTTCATCCCTGCAGACTGATGTCTATTTCATATTTATTTTTCTAATCCTCTTCTTTCCCCTCAAGCCTATCTTTTCCACTGTTTGGGGTACCCCTATGTTCTTTGTGGGGCCATAAGTCTATACATATAGATGTATTCCATAGATAACTATATAATGATATATAATCTTGTTGTACTCACATTTTCTCTGCTCTTATTTACATATATCTATTCCTTTTACGTTATACATATTTTAAAAATAACGATTGGAAAAAAAAATTGTAAAAAGAGAAACTAGAAATATATATATATAGCATAATCAGTTTTGGAAAGCTACAATTTACTTTACCTGATGTATGATAAAAGTGAATAAATAAGTGCTTGATTAAGGTGCACTCAATATAAACCAAGTTCTTTGTACAAAAGCTAAAGATGTTACTGATCGTACTATCAAATAAAAACAATTATTAAATTATAAAACAGCGCCAAAATGACCAACCATGCAACAACCAAAGTGAGTGTTGGGCATTCATACAGGGAGTGAAAAAAGTATTTAATCTCCTGCTGATTTTGAACGTTTGTCCACTGACAAAGAAATGATCAGTCTATAATTTTAATGGTAGGTGTATATTAACAGTGAGAGACAGAATAACAAAAAAAAAAAAACAACAGAAAAACGCATGCCAAAAAAGTTATAAATTGATTTGCATGTCAATGAGTGAAATAAGTATTTGATCCCCTATCAATCAGCAAGATTTTTGGCTCCCAGGTGTCTTTTATACAGGTAATGAGCTGAGATTAGGAGCACTCTCTTAAAGGGAGTGCTCCTAATCTCAGCTCGTTACCTGTATAAAAGACACCTGTCCACAGAAGCAATCAAACCAAGGATGTCAGGGACAAGATTGTAGACCTACACAAGGCTGGAATGGACTACAAGACCATTGCAAGCAGCTTGGTGAGAAGGTGACAACAGTTGGTGCGATTATTCACAAAATAACTGTCAGTCTCCCTCGGCCTGGTGCTCCATGCAAGATCTCACCTTGTGGAGTTACAATGATTATGAGAACAGTGAGGAATCATCCCAGAACTATATGGGAGTATCCTGTTAATGATCTCAAGGCAGCTGGGACCATAGTCACCAAGAAAACAATTGAAAACACACTATGCCGTGAAGGACTGAAATCCTGCAGTGCCTGTGTTGTGTCTAATCATTAAATTCATGAAGCACCAATGTCAAGAAGCAATAATCCTTTACCCCAAAGTTTTTAAAGATATTGGTGGGCACCAAAACCCTATTCAGGATGAGTAAACTGAGTATTTGAAAAAGAGAAAGACACTGACACCAATGACGTGTAAATAATCAATACAAACTTAATTGACTAACACAGACTTAATTAATAAGTAATAATATTAAATCTATAGTGTGCATTCAGCTTAAGGGAACAGCTTAATTATCTAGATATCAGCTTAAATATACATCACCATTAGAGAAGCTTGGATGTCACTCCGCTGCATGACTGGGGGAACTCAAGCAGTCAGACTTGGAAGGACCCTCTCTACTGTGAACAGCAAAGACCAGCAACACGCATCTGACAGATGGGCAGTTCTCCAAGTGAGTGCCAAGTCTCACCGTCTTTTATACCTTTTTACCAATGGGATGGATAGTCTGTACCTTTCCACCAAGTTTCTTTATCAGTACAGCCCAGCAAAGACCTGTCAAAAGCACTAGATGGGACTGGCAGCTGGCCAGGCTGTTCAGGATCATCAAAAACGCCATGTCATGTCTGTGCGATTAGTCTCTCTTATCTATAAGCTAGCACTATACTATTTTCGTGATTGTACGCAGAAGCTTGATGTTGAGTGACGCTGATGCTGTGTTTTGTGGCATTATACAGTTTTAGTGCTGTGTATTAATATCTGTAACATCCAGGCATGTATCTAGTGACACTGCCTGTATGTGCTTGCCAGCACCATCTTAACTATCTATAAGAGTTTAATTTGCTCAATAGTAATCAATCATTCTTAATTAATATGGAATATTATCAAATTCCATCCCTTGATCACTCAGTAAGCAAAACCTCACACATTCACGCATGCCATTCAGGTTATCAGCAGGGGGCAAGCCCATTTACCCACTGATTCCCATATTGTTCCTTTCACACCTGGAACCAATTCAAACTTTTAAAAACCCTCCGTCGAGAGTGATTACTAAGTTAGCCAATTTTAAACAGAGAATACTTTGTAGCTCAGTGGTGTATCCTGGTTTTGTGCTGCCCTAGGCATGACAAAACTCAGGTGCCCCCCCCGCGCCACCCCATCTTCCCCCCTGCTCCGCCTTCTAAATACACACACATTCACTGACAGACACGCATACACTAGCTAACAGACATAAACACTCACTAATAGACACACACATTCACTGACCGACACGCATACACTCTCACTAACAGACACACACATAGTAACACACTCCCTAACAGACACACTCCCTGACATACACACACTCAATAACACACACACTCCCTGACATACACACACTCAATAACACACACACACACACACACACACACACACAATAACAGACACTCACTCACTAACACACACAAACACACACACTAACAGGCAAACACACACACAAACACTCACTAACAGACACAGACACACACTAACAGACACACACACACACACACACTCACTAACAGACACCCACACTAACACACACACACTCACTCACAGTAGCACAATCACCTTTTTTTTAAATTCTCCCTTTCCCTGGGGGTCCAGTGGCTGCTGGGCGGGCGGGCGGTGCTGGCGAGGGAGCACTGATTAGTGAGCTCTCTGCTCAGCTCCCTCGTACGCCGCAGATTGATGCCGGGAGCCAGAAAGAGAGTTCAGGGGAAAGTGCTCCCTCGCCAGCACTGCCCGACCAGATTTTTAGTTAGCCGTAAGGCTAACAAGACATTTACCCTGGGCATTTGGTAAATGCTTTTTTTTGCCGCCCCCTGGAAAATGCCGCCCAAGGCAAATGCCTTGTTTGCCTCGCGGCTAATACGTCCCTGTTGTAACTTAATCCTTCGCAACACATCTCTTCCCGCTTATTCTAGCTAAAGGGGAAATCTAATTTCCTATAGAAGAAACTACTATGTACCTTTGCCTTACCTTATCCTTCGAATGCCGCACTTTACAATATCGAAGCATAGATAAATACATAAGAATAGTCCAATCAAAGTCTTTTGTAGCATTAGCTAGCCAGTGTTTGAAGCCATCTGTGGTTAATAGTTTTCTAAAGCGTTTCTGCACCTCTTCTAAATGATGAAGCTCATGCTCTATTTTCCCTAATTTGTCTTCTATCCACACGCAACATGCCCTGCCTCCTATTTTTTTACACACACCTCCTTCTGCTGCAAGCAGGTAATCTAAGGCTGTTCTGTTCTGCAAAGCTACCTGTCTAATCTGTTCCTGTTCATAATTAAGTAGGCTGATTGCAGTTCCTGTGCTATTGAAAGCATCATTAAGGGCGTCAAAATATTTAAGTTTGTTATCATTTCCAGGGTTAAAGGTGTCTGTCTGATCTAGTTGTGTCAGAACAGGTTGTCATTGATGTCCTTTGAATTTTCAATAGTAGAGTATGTGGCAGACACAGGGCATTGTAGATTCTAATGTTAACACAGGGAACGATTAATTTGGCAACTTAATATAGGTCATTGTCTCAGTTTCGTTGTAACTGAAATAGCCTTCTCCATCCAGACTGGCCCTTATGTTTGGACAGTCATCAGTCAGGCAGGATACTCTTATCTCGATCTCTTTCCATTTCATCTCTGTGGAATCACTCTGGTCCCAACCTCCAATCTCGTTGCTGGTATCTGAACCGACCAAAGGGTGTAGAGTAAGCACGGCCATCACAATAACAGCCAGACCAATGTGCTTTGCCTGTAAAGAGAGTACTCATTTTATTCTCTTAAGTAGCATTTGCCCGCAGGCACATATTCCCACTTGTCTTGTCCTGTTTTGGAAAGCATTACTGTGTTATCATTGCCTGTGGCTAGTACCTTTTCTGTTCTTACCCACACCTTGGCCCCTGGATTTAGGTTAGTTGAACCAAATCCTTTGTCTTCTCTCACTGTCTGTAAGGTGGGGGCTGATCCTTTGTTTATTTGTCCTTCATAAATGGGGATGATAACCAATTGGGCTATTCTGTCCCCTTCTTGTACTAGCAAGTCTTGTGGCCCTTGATTTCAGTAGAAGGACCTTTATCTCTCCTTGGTAATCCCATTACAAGTATCCCCTTGAGGACTAGGCTGGACCTGGGTACAATTAGTCCAAAGTGTCCCGGGGGTATTTGTATACCTATGCCTATAGGGAACATTTGTACCTGCCCTATTTGGAGTCTTTCTTCCTTTCTGGCTCGCAAGTCTATGCCTGCAGCCTCTGGGGTAGCAATGCATGGTGCTAAGTCCCCTTCTTCAATCTCCCAGTATGTGATTGTGTTGGTTGCTACATACGGTTTTGCCTGTATGTTGGGTGCAATCATTCTAGTGAGGTGAGTGTCATGATCTGTTGCTTAGAATGTTAACAGCAGTAGGCAGATTATCTCTCCATTTATGCATGGTCCCTTCCCCAAGCTTTCTCAGTTGCTGTTTAAGCAAACCACTCATCCTTACTATTAGCCTTGCTGCTTGAGGATAATAGGGTATGTGTAAAATCCACTCAATATTGTTTTAATTGCAAAAATCTTGCACTAATTTATCTGCAATGAGAGACCACAATACTGTATCATTGTTTCCAGCATTTTGATGGTATTTATTTGGGTAGCCGTGCATGCATATTGACAATTTTTGCTCATTGGTAGTGGTCCTATGTAGTCCACTTGCCATATTTGTCTTGGACCTTTGCCTCTTTTTATCTGTCCATGCACTAAACATGACTCATGTCTATTCTGCTCATGTTGACATACTGCACACTGCAAAATGACTGTTTTAATTAAATCAAGCGGCACTAAAATGCCTCACTGCTGTTCCCACCTGTGAGTGGTTTGCTCTCCCAGGTGTCCACATTTCTGATGGGCCCAGTTGGCCAATCCCAAAAGGGAGTTAGGATTGTCAACAGATGCCAATTTTGGCATGTTCATCTGCAATAGAATTAAACAGACGATCCAATGAGTCAGTGTTACAATGTGCATCTACGTGAAAAACTGTCACCTCATTTTTATGCACCATTTCCCAGAGATCTTTTCCCCAGACTTCCTTGGTGTGTATCATGAACCATAATACATTAAAAAGTGCCCCTTTCTCTAGATTTGTTAAAACACTGTCTGTTCTCTCATAATAAATACACAATGGTCTGCTAAAATAGTATTCAATAATCCTACTTTACAGTGTTTACTATTTAACAGGAGTTTTAAAAGTATGCATAGGGTAGTTATTTTGTGCCCCCAGACATAAGCAGACACAATGCTAGTGGTCTGTTTAAAACCCTTAGGATTTAATTGCGATCTTTCCATGGTCATTAGAACTTTATATTGTCTAATTGTTTATATGCTGTGAACACCGATTAGCCACCCCTCACTTGACATTGCGGCACTGGACTGGCCGTATGATGTAATTAAAGGGGCGTACGTTCTACCCTTTAAAACATCCGGTGGGCTCCCTGAATCTCAATGCTCTTGAGAAAGGTGCAACATAGCGCCAAAACGCACGTCAAGCTTAGACGTTGCCATTTGGCGATAATCTTTTAACTCTGTTAGGTTCTCTATGCCGATGTGCAGGACTGGGATGGGGATTTAGTGTCTGACAGGATTTCTAGTTAGACATCCATAGCTAGGGGAATTCCATCAAAAGACAGCAATATGTGTTACATAGCAAGCGTGGAGTGTGATAACTAAATATAAGATTCAAATATCTCATTGGGGAAACGGCATGGTTCGGTCCTAGTGGGGCATTTACATTTACACAGCACCTACTTAGGCTTTATGCTGCACTGATCCTAGATATTTGTGTCTCTTCACACTGATCCAGCACTAATGAGAGATTCAAAGGGAGTTGTCTTTAATCGTTAACCCTGACTTTCTAGTCTCTGAGTATTTGAACTCTGAATTAATAAGACAAGGAGGGAAACCACCACCCTTGTTTTGCTCCCCATCTCTCTCACCTCTAGTTTACTACATATGGTGGAAATTTACTCAAAAACCCCACTGGTTTATCCTTAATCCCACCTCTATACCCGCTTTAGCTGCTCAAATAGAAAATTAATGATCGCGTGGATACAACCACCTATCATTTTGTTGCTACATATCTATACTAATAGCTATTCTTCTATTTAACTAATTTCCTAAAATATACTTTATCAGGTGTATCTGAATATTTACAAGATTTGCTTTGTAGCTCAATATCACCATAGCAGCTAAAGATACACCACATAGAGTATTCCTTTTTAAATCACCAACACGCTTGTTTTTTCACTTATTTATTTTCACGTTGTATGTATGTATAACAGTACAATATATAGTACTGAATAAAGATGTAGGAAACCGCTATACCTGCTATAATCACCAGTTCTTGTAAGAGCTACACAGCTATACCGACCTTGGGATTTGGAAAGCATCACTTTGAATAGGGGGAAAGCACAACTCTGGCGGCTAAACCCCTCATCCTCTCGGGGTGGCCGCCACATTTGGTGGCAGCAGTGGGATGGTTCTTGTCCCCCAGAGAAGATGCTAATCTTGGATGCAGTAACCGTCTAGCGGATGGAGAGTCGGTATGAGCAGTTGAAGTGATCCACCTTAAAGGATATCTTTGAGAAATGTGGGCGAACGACGAAAACCCATCCTAAGAGCGAATTAATCCACAAATTGCTGGAGATGGATTGTGCCAACACCTTATCTGAACCGATGCTACCGAATGCGGAGGAAGACGAATGTATGCGGACCATTCGGTTATGATTAACCCTGTTCGGTCCAAACCCTCCACTGACATCGTGATACAGGCGATGGCGGCTGTTAATGCAGAGGAACGAGCTATACAGGAGTGCCAAGTGAGAGAGCGCTCCGAGAGTCCAGCAACAGAGACTACAGCGACACCTTGGGAACGTAAGAAGGTGCCATCTGCCGCATTTAAATACTTTTTAGAAGCAGAAGGTGAAATAGATGGTGTGACGGACCTCCTGGTCCTCTGAACGAGTACCTCTGAATTCTCCTAGTGCTTTCCGAGGGCTCCAAGCACTCCACCAGACACCATAAGCACTGTAGACCCCATGAACCGCCGCAGCTTGGTTGGGGTCCCGCCGTCCTCCACCCACCCTGGACCCAAGACCAGGATCCAGCTCCCAGTGGGTAGACCTCTCCTCCTCCAGAGAGTGTAGCAGCAGGGCCATCATCAGGGGGTGACAACCATGTATGTTGTCACGGGCTCGGCGGCCCTGGGGGGCCCGGCGGCCCTGGGGGGCCCGGCGGCCCTGGGGGGCCCGGACTGCTCTGGCAGTCCTGGGCCCCACTTTCTTTCTCTGCACACATAGATAGCGGATATCGCTATCTATGTGTGCAGCCGCGGGCCCCTGGCTCCCTGTTACTGCAGAGGGGGCCCAGGCAGCACACAGCTTCTCCTCTCTTCTCTCTTCTAATAACTCTCGCGAGACCCGCGGAGCGTTGCCATGGTAACCGGGTCTAGTTATTAGAAGAGAGGAGAAGCTGTGTGCTGCATGGGCCCCCTCTGTGGTAACAGGGAGCCGGGGGGCCACCCACCGGACCACCAGGGATTGAATCTCCCCCTCCCTGGACACAGGTAAGCAGGGAGGGGGGAATATCATTTACATTTAATTTACACATTGCACATTTACACACACACACACACTGCATACACTAACACAACACACACACTGCATACACTAACACAACACACACACACTGCATACACTAACACAACACACACTGCATACACACACGGCATACACTAACACAACACACACACTGCATACACTAACACAACACACACACACTGCATACACTAGTACAACACACACACACTGCATACACTAACACAACACACACACACACACACTGCATACACACACTGCATACACACACAATACACTACACAACACACACACACTGCATACACTAACACAACACACGCACACACTGCATACACTAACACAACACGCACTCTGCATCCGCTACACTAACACACACTCTGCATCCGCTACACACTAACATACTCTCTGCATTCACTACACATTAA